TCAAATTCACCACCTTCCATGGCAGAATTTGAACCCAGGTCCCCAGAACATTATCTGGGTCACTGGATCAACAGTCCAGCGATAATACCAGTAGGCCATTCCTGGACTGAGTGTCACATAACATATGTTGTTGATTTGTCAACTCCACATCTGTCAGTCCTTAGTGCAATAGTTCCATAAAGACATCCTTAAATGTATTGGTATTTAGGGATTGGTATTTTCCATCTCACTTTATCTACCAATGCAAGTGAGAATTCCTTTCTAAAAATTGTCAATTATCTGTAAAATGAAAGGTGATAAGTTCATCCTGAATTATTTCCAACTCACAAAGAACCAGCACAAAACATAAATAGCATGAAATAAAACCTTGAAGTGAGGTATCTGTTAGAATTCTTTAAGTTTGATGTTGAAAACCCTTGAGAAAAATATTGTTAGATTACTCAGTGGAATCCACGGATACTTTGCTTGCTGTATTTTGCAGATCTAATACTTTAAGCACATAATGTACAGTGAGTGAAAGGGAATACCTGTAAATTAAAACAACTGACAGCAGATTTGTGCAGATTTTGTCTTTCAAATGGTGTAGCTGTGTCCCATCAAATGCACAAACTGACAGCTCTGTGTAGCTGGTGTACATGTGCTCAATTGATTTTCAGTATGGTAGTGGAAGTGAGAATATAAAGAATACTCAAAGCTGAAATGTGAAGAATTTTGCAAGATCCGTGCAGAATGAATGTGAATTTGCAGACCTCAGTTCATGCAATCAGAATGTTTTAACATTGTCACAACTACCAGAGCAGTGGACAAAGATGAAGGAATTCCAACAACTTAGACAGTGGATCGGTGCTAATCTTTTGGTAAGAGGAAGTTCTCATGGACAACGCTAAATTTGCTGCCAGTACAACAGACTAAGCAGTATAGAAATACCAAAAAGGTGATGATGTGAGAAATCTGAAATAAAAACAATACGTGCTGGAACTACTCGGGTCTGACAATACGTAGTGGGAGAGAAACAGAGTTAATGTTTCCAATCTGTGATCTTTCATCAGAAAAGCAGGCAAACAATTGATCAAGTTACATGGTGCAATTCGTACTTGAATACATTAGGTTTACTAATGGAGTTCAGTCGAGGATTGATTGAATCACTATAACGATGACTGGAATCATCTCCTCGATTATTTGAAGGTTGCCAAACCGTGGCATATGCAGGGCAACAAAGCAAGCCCCAAATCTTGAACAGGGATCAAATCCTTCCATCTGGTGCTATCTGAACCACATGCTAGCTGTCTAACCAACTGAACAAACCCAACCCTAAAAGGCTGGAATAAGTGCAGTGAGTCCCAATGACAGACGTGATGACAGGAGTCAATATGACTAATGCAACGTAATACTTGCTGATCAGAATCACTGAAGCATGGTAAATAAACTACTGCTCACTGAAGTACAAAAACCTACTACAATCATTGGAATCAGTAGTATTAATGCCATGTAAGCTTCTATCTTAAAGAAGCTCAGTAACGTTGATAGGCTCAAAGACTTTGGTCTGTTTCCTTCAGTGTAATATGGATTTAGAGATTTGTAACATAATCCCTTTTGATAGACTATTTCAGTTTGACAGATTAGGGAGGATCGGGATCACAAGTTTAAACAATGTAAATGTAGTAATAGACTGGACATTGCGTGTGGTTCTCCTTTCCCAGAGAGTTATGAGCTCCTGGAATTTATTTGAGGGACCTGGTTGATTTCTTAACTGGGGCAGAAATTGCATCGTTGAGAAGGTGTCTTTATTGACCTTATTGAAATAGAAGTATCTCTATAGATAGTATGTAATTTCTGTGATCTCCTGGACTAGTTTTGATCACCTGCAAGGAGGAGATGGATGCGAAAAGCAATTTTTGAGAGTAACCTTTTCCCTCCCAGGCGTTGGTTTTTTTTTGTACTTTTGCTTCTCCCATATTACATATCTGCAGAGGTGGGTGGGAGCTGCAGAAAGGAGGAAAGGAGTGTTCAGTCATGATTATCTGGCTATGCAGAAGTGGGGGACGTTTAATAGTCCAGCTGGTCTTTATAGGAGTTTCAATTTCATATGTTTATATCGACGTTATAAATGAACCACAATCACGTGAAACTGCATGAGTGTTAGTAATAGATACTTGATTCAAGCAGCGCAAAATCTCCTGGTAGAAACTGGGCAGAAGTTTCAGGAAATATTAAAATACTCCATATAATTTTGCAGATCTTGGCAGCAGCAAACCACAGATCTTGATCAGCCAGGACAAACAATTCGCTGCTGATCTTTGCAGAATCAACACATTTGTTTTTGTTTCAGGCAGCAATGAATTGCAAGCAGTAAACCAAAAGCAGGAAAAACAAATGTGTGAAGTGCATAATGAACGCTGAGGTTTGGACTTTGTGAGAAGGAAGTCAAAGTGCTTTCATTGAGATTCTTAACTTTTATAGACTGCAAGTGGGTGGGATTGCATATGTAACCAGTGTGGAATCATCCCATGCTGCATCTATCAAAGAGTTTTCTTAAAGTGCAGTTTCTGTCATGAGTGCATTTGCTTTTGGGAAACTGACATCTAAACCAGGAGAAACAGATGAACAGCGGTTGCCAAAAGCTACGTGGAACCCTGTACTTACATAGAGTACAGTAGGAGGTCCAGTAATTAAAACAATGCCATTGATGTACAAACCATTGTAAGATTTGGTTAATAATCTAGATGGGATCACTCTACCCATTGGGAATAAGAATAAGTATCATCCAGGACTCTGTAAAACAAATCCCAACCCATAGTACTGGAGTTTGGAGAGAGAAACCAAACAGTCAGCCAGTTTAGTTGTCACACAGGATTCTACTAATTTCAGTCTATCATCCATTTGAGCTTGTTCAATCTTCTTTCTTCCTTTATATGCCGTACTCCTTCCAAGACTGCTACTTTGTACTATTCTACAACCTTTTTGCAGGGTATTTTTTTTTTTGTAAGCAGATTGAGTTGCATCAAAAACAGACACTAGACTGAAGCTAGCTGAATGGTCTCTGGCAGCTTGCACAACTCATGCTAACTACTAGGTGCTATGATTCTTTCTGTTCAGATGACTATTTTAACAGGCCTAACTAAACTGTGCACTTGTGAATCTCTTAAACTTGTCTAGAGATTACTTGCTTGTTTCAACGAAAACATGTTTTCTTTACTTTTTTTTTGTTATGGATTACAGAGCTTCTGAATATTATGATCATTAGGTATGCATACTGTTACCTAGATATTAAGGATCATTGTGAGAAGTGACTTAAGGTAATATCAATAAGCTGTCAAAGCCAAGGGAGAGGCTTTGACAGAAATATTATCCAATGGATTTATGCAAAAGGATTAGATATCGAAGTTTTTCCTCGGGATTCTCCAAATCCAAAAATTCTTCACTCAGAAAGATGAAAACATTCTGTTCATTCAACAACATCATGCGTTTATAAAGCACCTCTAATTTAGGAAAATATTTGAAAGTATTTCATAATAACATTCAAAAATTGATATTAAACTAAATAAGGAAATATCAGGTAATAAAATATGTTTGCAATGCAGTCATGTCATGAATACAGGGAGAACTGCAAGCAATTTTCCAAAACAGTGTGATAAAGAGCATTATACTTTTTCAGACATTTTGGTTGAGCAATAAATGTCAGCCATAATAAATTTAAGACAATAGTTTACATGTTCTTTGTGGAAGTTGCTTTTTGACCCTGACATAAAGCAAGTGTTGGAGATGGGTACAGAAAGCCAAAATATTATCAAGCTCCATAAATTATACAGAGAATGTTACAGCTTTCAGTCTTACATTACCCATGTAGCAATGTAAAATAACCACAAGGTACCAAACATTTACCTGTAAAATGTAGTTTACTTTCGAAAGTGCGGTATGAGACTGTGTTGTTTGCTTGCAATAAATAGCAACAGAAAATCCCAAAGTGCTTCAAGGTGTATAATTGGATGAAAATGTAGATAGTAAGAGCGGAAACCATAAGCTTGGTGTTAAGGAGGATATCAAAGAAGGGGAGGTTGAGAGGTATAGGGAGTGAGTCTGATGAAATTTGAGAATGTAATGGATGAAACATGAAGGCACTTCTGCTAATGGGGTGAAGGGCAGGGAAAGATGCTCAAGAGACCATAGTCAGAGAATTGGAGACTTCATGGAAGGTATAGGGCTGGAGGAGGTTTTTTTCTAAAAAGTGAGCTAAGTGGGCAGCTGAATGGATTGTTTCAATCTTGCCAGTTGGAGACGTGTGGAGGGAGCACAGGAGAATGGTTTAATGAGACAGTTGATTATTTCTGGAAGAAGTGCCCAGCAACTGTATTTGTTATCTTTATCCTGGAGTAGTGGGCATTTTTAACAGAGGAAGTTGAGGCTGAGTAATGCTAGGTTAACCCTAATTTTCCTGATCGCCTCATTTGGCACAGTTACGTAGGCTCCAGAGTTCAAGTCCCCTACTGAAAATGCTCCCTCATTTTGTCTCACTCTCATCCATTAAGACATTCCTTAAAATCAACCTCTTGACCAAGCTTTTGGTCACCTGTCCTAATGTCTCCTTTAATGACTTAATGTCAGATAAAGCTCCAGAGAATCATGTTAGGATAGATAACGGAATACATCAAAGAACACGATATAAGGAAAAGATTTGATGTTGGAAGGTTAAACAAGTTATGCACCATTTTCAAACTAGTCTTTGTCTCTCAGAATCATAATGAAAACAGGGTGTCATAAAAGGGATAGTAGCCAGATTGGAGGGAAATAAATGTTGGGGACAAGGGTATCCCCAGGTGATAGATTGTAAGTGGCTAAGCAGATCAGTGCTTGTAAAGACAGGATGGCAGTTGTGATTTACAATTAGCATGGATAGATTTGTGACAAACTATGCTATTTTATATTAAATAATTCACTTTACAATGTAAGTACTTCAGATAAATCTTGAAAGTGGTAACCTAATGGTTTTATATGTGTTTCAGTTGAAGCTCTGTACAGAGATACATATCCGGAATATCTTCAGTACATTTACTTGGTGGCACCCATCTCATTGATGTTATTAAATCCAATTGGTTTCATCTTCTGTGAAATACAAAAATGGAGGGAAAATATGAACATTCAACAAAGCAAGCTGAAGACTGTTGCACTGGTATTGTTACAGGTTTTTAAAAACCCAATTGTTTTTATGGTCATTGTTGGAATTTGTGGGAATTTTATCTTTGAACGAAAGATTCCAGTGATTATCGGAGAATTTCTGGATGGTCTGGCAAGCTCTTTCAGTGGTTCAGCTCTCTTTTATCTTGGACTTACAATGGTGGGACAAATCAAGAAGCTGAAAAAAAATTCATTTCTTGCAATTATTCTGCTGATCACTGCCAAACTGTGAGTAGAAAATTCTTGCCGTCTGATGTGTTTATAAGTGCAACTAGTGCCTGATTCTTATAACTTAAAACTGCTACTCTGTCTATTTAATGTGGTAATGAAGTTTTTTTTTAAATATAGGAATTCCTCTTGTAAAATCAACTTTCACAACTTACATTTTTATTGCTGGAAAAAGGATCAGTGACTGACTGACTGAACTAGAGACATAATGGAGAATAAGTATATTTTGTTCAAAGTAGGAAGGGATTACCCACAGGATTAGAAGAGGGAGGAAAAATAGAGAAGCAACACAGGAAAATTCTGCCAGTTTGGAACTATCCAATCAATGATTAGTTCTTAGTACATATGAGAAGAACATGGGCAGAGGCACAGGGAGGAAATATTCAAGAGTAACAGCTTGGTATTTTCATTCATGGGGTGGAACCTGGTACCCTCCCCTGTGATTTTAGTGTTGGTGGGACATTTAATCAGCAAACAGGACGGTGGATAGGGACCCTATCACCATCCGGCCTCCACCCTCATTAGGTTTATGATGGGAGGGCCCTGATAGGCTTTCCCATCCTACCATTAAACTAGGCTCTTAAGGAGAAATTAATGCCCAGTAACAGCCTCATCCCATTGTTCCTAATGTCCATGGAATGGCACGTTGAGAGTTTACCACATGGGAAGCACTGCAGCAAACGCAAATCTGCTTGTGGACTGCGTGGTGGGGTCCCGCATTCAATGGCACTTGATGCCTGATTGAGTAATCCAGCATCATAAAGGAAAGTTCTGCCCTTGCTGCTGGCCCTCCCACCCCTGCAACCTCCTTCCCACCATGCCTCACCCCTGCTGGGATTCCTCCTCAATCTGAGGCCTTGGTTGGGTGTAGTATCGGCAGTAGCCACTGCTTGACTGGTGGGGCTGTTGAGTACAGAAATGCTGGCAGCCAATCAGCCCTTGACAAGCAGCAGGCCTTCCCCCAGATCAAGTGCCTGTGTGTCACAAGATACAGCAGGCCTTGCTGGAAAGAGTGGAAATGGCAGAGGTTCGAAGGCAACAAGAATGAGCCTCAAAAATAGATGAATTGTTTTTGTATGTTATATAATTATAGAGACAAACATTTTGGGAGGAATGTTCATAGGGAAGGAAAGGCAGGTTTGTGGGGAAGTAAAATACTGTGAAAATAAAGTCATCTTTGGGGATTCCAGCATCATTTTTCCCCCTCCCACCACCCTCCAGGTTTCAACCAGTCATGGGTTTGAAGGCTCACTGTGAGGCAAATTCACAAAGGGAAATTTCATTGTGGAAGAGCTGTGAATGCTTTGATCAATGATATCTGCAGCCTTCTGGAATAAGACTTTCTTCTTAGTGGACAACCAGTCATGCACTCCCAGTAATTGGTGAGGTGCCCATCACTGGAGGGTCACTACTTAGCTCTTGACAGTGTTCTATCACTCACCTCAGGGGAGGTGATAGCCTAGTGTTATTTTCTCTAGTAATCCAGAGACCCAGATAATGTTCTCTGATTGGCAGATGCTGGAATTTGAATCCAATAATTCAGTTCAATAACCCCGGAACTCCCTTCTTAACGGTACTGTGGATACACTTACCCTCCATGGATGGCAATTGTTCAAGAAAGCAATTCATCACCACCACCTTGAGGGTTGGGCAATAAATTCTGACTCATTCAGCAGTGCCCATGTGCAGTGCAAGAATTTTAAAAATGGTCCTGTGCAGTCACTTGTTTTCTCACACTCACTCTACACTTTCACACTTACACTTGTTTATTGTCCCTTTTGCTGGTTAGTTGGCTCTTTTTCACTATCTTGCTTGCATATGCTAGGTCTGTCTCACATATACATTCCTTCTTTCCCTGTATGTACTTGCTTGTGTGTCGTCTTTTTTGTGCATGTTATTTCTTTACAGTTCTGCACACTCCTCCTGAATCATGCTTGTTCCTATTTGATGCATTCTTACAGTATTGATTGCATTTTAGCTGTCTCTTCCTCTCTAGTTTGCTCATGCTGTTTTGCTTGTTCCCCTCTTCCTTTCATTCATTGCAATTCCTCATTGCTCACTTTGGTATTCTGGTTCTTTTCCCACTTTTTGTATTTTTTCTTCCTGTTTTTTTTCCCACTTCCGTTATCCCATCTCACATGCCCTATGTTGATCTTGCACTCACTCTTGATCTCTCAGTTCCTATCTTGGGCTGCATTTGCCTCAAATATTTTGTCCTTCTGTGAACATGAGGATTTTTCTCTCGAGCTGTCACTCATTCTCACTTTCCTGAGAAGGTGCACTCTAGTGCATTCTGTTTCATAGAATCATACCAATGCTCTGGAGAGCTTCCCAGCCAGACCCACCCCCTACCCTATCCCTATAGTCCTGCATTTCCTAACCTGCAAATCCCTAGAAACTATAGTCAATGTAGTATGGCCAATCCACCTAACCTGCACTTCTTTGGACTGTGGGAGGAAACCCACGAGGAGGACATGCAAAGTCCATACAGTCGACAGAGGGTGGAATCAAAACTGGGTCCATGGTTCTTGAGGCAGCAGTGCTAACCATTGAGCCACCGTGCCAACTGGTAAATTGTTTCATGCATTTTACACTCCCCATTGTAGGTTCATTCTCTTTGCTTCTGTTGTTCTTCTCTCTTGCTTGTTCACACAAGAAATGTTTAAAGACCTTTTAAAAAAGCTTTAGGAAGCTCAGAAGTTCTAAGATGTTAAGGTTCTAAAGAAAGTGAATCACAAGATAAGATGTCATATAATAAATCTTGATTGCAGCATTAGTTTCTTAGACTCTCCTTGCCTTGAGCAGAAATGAGCACTGTTTTGTCTTCTCACTTGAATTCTATCTTGCATGTTTTCTTTCTCTTTACCCATTCACTCTTATAATGGCAATAATACACTATGAAGCATTCGTTGAATTCTTTTACGCCTACTCACTTTTTGTACCCATTCATTCTTCTGCTCTTCCTGTTGGTTTTGTGCTCACTTTAAATTGCCCTGCCTTCTGAATTCATGTGCTGTTGCTAGCAAATTCTCTTTCTTGCTCACTTTTTGTCTGTGGTTTTGTCTATGGATGAGAAATCTTGCATAAACATAGTGGAAAAAGTAAATTTAGATGTGATAACCATTACAGCAATGTTCCAGCACTGTTCCTGTATCTGAGGAACTCTTGCTGTCTCCCTGCCACTTGAAAGGAAAACGTCTATTGTCTGGTACATGCTAATGTGCTTTACACCATAGCCTTCAAATTCATTCTTCACTGCAAACTTTAATCACTGTTTTCTTCTGGGGATTTCTAAACTAACCTCTCTCACTTGTTTCTTCTACACTTCAAATATGCAACACAGCACAGACTTTGTCCTCCCAATAATGTTAATGTGCAGTTCATTACATAATGTCTTGACTTAAATTTAATTTTTCTCACTCTTTTCTCTCTCAGTTGGATAACCACTCCTATTAAACATCTTGTGATAAGATTGTGGTTACTTTTAAAGCAAATAGTTGGGTGATTAATTGAATAGTTTGGATTTAGCAATTCATAGAAATTTAAGTTAATAATTTCATGTGATAAATCTGAATCTTTTTCAAATTTCTCAACAAGCTAATATGATGAATAATTTATTTCTTCATTTAATTTGTAATAAAATAAATATTTTTAAAATTCATAGATTGGTGCTTCCCCTCATCAGCCGCGAAATGGTGGAATTACTAAACAGTGGTAACTACACCAGCCTCTCAAACTATGCATTTTTATATGGCGTTTTTCCAACAGCACCAAGTGTAGCTATCTATGCAAGTCAATACAATATGGAAATCGAAATTGTAAGTATATCGAGGATTAGTCTCCCATTTTAAATTTCAAATAGGAAGAGTTTTTTTTACAAGATAGGGATTTGCTAAGAGGGTATTTACGAGTTTGAATTCTTTTTCAATTATATAGTCAGTCTTTCTATGATTCTTGCATACTTAGTAATTCAAGCCTGTGTAAATTTAGTATGAATACTGCTAGATGAGTCTGAAATGTTTTCCATGCAAAATCCATATGTCTTTTCAGTGGAAGTTGATACAATAGCAATATTTCAGTGGCATTTAGATAGATACGTGAACAGGCAGGGAATACAGGGTTTATGGACTATGTGCAGGCAGATGGGACTAGTTTAGAACTGCATCATGGTTGGCACAGACATGGTGGGCTGAGTGGCCTGTTTTTGTGCTGTACTGTTCCATGTTCTATGTTCTAAGTACAGACTATGAGGACATCAATCCTAGGAAGCTTAGTGGAAGCACTCATTTAGATAATCACAACTTGTTCCTTCTTTTTGTATCTCTACATCACTATTTGTCAATAATATTTATATAAAATTATTTTATAGGTGACTCCTGGGATGGTAATAAATACCTTTGTATCTGCTCCCATCATGTATGTGTCTGCGTGGCTTTTGACAATTCCATCTATGCACACACAGGTGTTACAATCAGCAATTCGCAGCATTAGCTTTGACATCAGCATAGTCACCCTCGTTTTTCTGGTTAGTATATGGTTTCTATAAAAATATTCATATCTAATGTTACATATCTGATTTAGCATGCTGTTTTCTCACTACTATTGTAAAGTTGTGTTTTGGTATTAAAGTTGAGGTTGATATTAAAGTTCATTGCGATTTTGAGATGTTGATTGACTTGCAATTTAAATTTCTGCCAAGTTATGTTCTGTATATTGAAGATATTAGTAGTTCACTGAAAATCATCCTTTTTTGATAATGATGCATCCAAACTCCAAGAACATGATGTTGTACTATCAGACTCCAGAGTGCCCAACCGTATTCTGACAAAGACTAGCGTCATCCCTAAGTTAAATCAGTGACCGTGAACACAGATAATTCCACTCCTCCAAATTGCCAGACATTTATCTCCAGTTGCTAAATACTAGTTATTCATTTACAAGGGCATAAATATTCTTATTGTGATAAACCAATAATCTGCTAGCTTTATTGTGTGCAATTTTGGTGTCCTTACCTATGGAAAGGTTTATTTGCCACAAAGGGAGTGTAACAAAGGCTCACCAAACTACTTCCTGGGATGTGAAGTTGTCCTGTGATCAAAGACTGAATAGCCTGCGCCTCTCTTCTCTGGAATCTAGAAAATGAAGAGGTGATATCATGCAAAAATATTGTTTTCATAAAATAAGTATGTGTACTCATTGCACCAGCTGTACTTCCCAACTGCCTATAACAAAGCCATCACGCCTATGATGTTTGACTAGCTATTTACTGCTAAGGTTTTGGTGAAGGGAAGCTTTCTCAGGTTGAACGCTGCTATGACCATTTGACTGTACAACATCTTAAAAAATAAATCAAACAGTCTAGAGTAACTGGTCCTAGTTAATATAGAAATAAATTGAATATCTTGTACAGAGACACATGGATTCTACAACAATTGAGTCATGGACTTCTGTAGCTAGCTTTTTGTTTCCATTTATTCTCTGGGCAGTGTCATTTGTATTTTAACAGCATATAGTATTGTTATTTCTATGAATCAGCGCAATGTAAGCAGCCACTGAGGGCTGTTTCTGTGGACTCTGAGCAGTTCACTTTAAATAGTGTTTCAGCAGTTTCTGTCCCAGTTCACCCCACAAAATTGTATAAATCAATAAGTTAGTATCTCACCAAAAGAGTCACATCAGGTAATGCAATACTCAATCAGTACCGCACTGAGATGTCATCTGAAATTATGTGCTCCAGTGTCTGAAGGAGAGCTTGATCTCAAAGACTTGAAGACAAGAATGTTATCACTATCCAATTGTGATAAGCGAACTTAATTTGTAGTATAAATCTATAAAAAGGGTTAATCTCTCCCACATAAATTAGTTCTGTCAACTCAGAACCCCACTTCTGTTGTGTTCTAAGTTCCTGAAAATCATATTAATCATTTTCTGTGTGAGATCCATGCTTGACAAGGTACTCAGCCTCAGTTTATACTGATTTCCACAGCAGCTGGGCACCCCATATCTTGCCCCAATACCACGACACATTCCCTTCCCACTATCACTCTGACTCTCCTTTTGCTATTCTTATATCTTCTCCCTTATAAACACTGACTAGATTGACACCACATTGTTGTCTGTCTTATTTTACATTTTATAAATCCTAGAAAATTGCACTTCAGTGCTCAGCCACATGAAGGAGCAAGCTATCCCAGCAGTAGTCAACACCAGAGATCTTCACTATAACAAAGTAAGCACACAACTACAATACTACTACACTACAGTTCTGAGGAAGGGTCACCGGCCCCGAAACGTTGACTCTGTTTTTTTCCTTCAAGGATGCTGCCAGATCTGCTGGGCTTTTCCAGCAACTTTGTTTTTGTTACTACTATGCGGAGGTTGTGTTAAAATTGTACTTGCTGTACCTGATTCCACTCTTTCCCCATCTATTTGTGTATGACCTCCATATACACTTAGATTCCTCACTGGTGTCTATTTCTATACCTGCTAATATGTCATAGGAACACAACCAATCTTGCTCCTGACTCTCATCAACATGTGATTATTTACGCAGTTACACTTTGTACTCTAAACATTTGGCCCAGATTACTCAGAAAACCTGCTCAGCAACTGAATGATGCATGTTACAATATATTCTGTAAAATTTGCTGATCTTTATCAAACATTTATTCATTTTACGTTGATAAATGCTATCAATCCATTATGACTGTGAAATAAAACCTTTTTATTTACTTTGTGTAACATCAGAGAGTACCACAATTGACACATTTAGATGTCATACACTTGATGAACTCAAATTTCATGTATCTAAAACAATGAGAGATTGCAACTGAACATGTGGGGAAACAAATGATGAAGATGACCATTGTTAAAAATGAGATAGGAAAGGAAAAGAAAGCAGTGTTTTGTTGTTTTCTTCTGACCTTGATAACCTGGCACCTCCTCAAGGAGTTTTGTAAAAACAAGTTCTAATCTAAGGCATCTGGAGGCAGTAGACTCTACCTTTCTGCTTAGATTCATTTATTTTAATCATCAGTGCGCAGAGTAAAAAGCTGCTAATTAGCCCCAGGTTTTCCTATTTACAATACTTCACAGTAGTTGAGTAGTTAAATCTGTCATAATTAGGTGTAACCTCTGATTTACTGTGAACAATGCAATGGGCAACACTTATTTATAAAGTAATTAAAATTGCCACTCAAGCTTTATTTCTGTGCTGTTTCAAAGATTTTTTTGAAAAAATCATGTTTGGCAATTACAATTTCAATTTTATTAATTTGCACAACTTTTTTCTTTTGTAAAGGTTTGGTCTGTGGCTGTTATGCTTTTGAGTAAGAAATTTAAACAGTTACCACATTTACTGTCCATTAATCTGCTGCTTGCACAGGTAAGGTTCTTCAATTATTTATTATAAGCTTTTGTGGAATGACATTTATTTACTGATCATTAGCTGGTGGACTGTGCTTATTTTCTGAAAGTGGGTGGCCAAAAACAGGTCTCAACTCTGTTTCCCATTCCGCAGATACTACTAGACCTGTTGAGTTCTCTGGTACTACTTGTTTTTATTTCAGATCTCCAGCGTCTGCAATACTTTGCTTATGTCAGTCAAGCAGACGCCTTTATCCTGGATAGTGTCAATTTCTTAGCTGTTGCAGTTGTATCTATCCAAATGAAGTGAAGACTGTTCCATAACACTCCTGACTTGCGTCTTGTAAGTGGTGAAAAATCTTTGGGGAATCAGGAAATGAGCATTTCTTGCAGAATACCTCGTTTCTGACCTGCTGCAGTAGCCGTATTTGAGTTTCTGGTTAATGGTGATCCCATTATTTTGATGTTGGAGATTTGATAATGGTAATGCCATCAAATGTTAGAGGAAGGTAGTTAGGTTCTGTGTAGAAGATGGTAATTGCCTGGCACTTGTCTAGTACAAGTGTTACTAACAACTTATTATTTCAAACCTGTATATTGTCCAACTCTTGCTTAATGGAGCATAGACTGTTTTGTTAACAGAAGAATGTTGAGTGGACACAGCGTTCATCAGTAAACTTCCCACTTTTGACATTACAATGAAAAGCAGGTCATTATATGAGAGCAATAAGTGGCACAGTGATAATTTCACTGGATTGACAATCGAGAGCCCAAGCTAATGCTCTGGGCCATGGGTTCAAGTTTCACCATGGTAGCTGATGTAATTTGAATTCAGTAAAATTCAATAAACAATGGGAATAAAAAGAGCCAGTCTCATGGTGACCATGTAACCATTGTAAAAACACATCTGGTCCTTTTTAGAGAAGGAAATCTGCCATCCTAAGGATATGGGGTAGGCCATTTAGAACAGCTAAAAAAAATTCCTTTACCCAGAGTGCTGTGCCTATGGAGTTCTCTACCACAGTAAGTGGTTGAGGCCAAAAAAAATTAATATTTTCAAGGAGATAGAATTCATAGAACTAGAAGGATTAAAAGGTATGGGGTGAAAGTTGGAACAGTGAGTTGGATGATCAGGCATAATCTTGTTGAATGGCAGAGCAGAGCCAAATGGCCTACCCATGTTCCTAGCCGATATGTTCCTATGAAACTGATGATGATGATGGGACCGGCTTTGAGGAACTCCTGCAGTGGTGTTTTAGAGCTGCGTTGATTGGTTTCCAAATCCAAAACCATCTTTGTGCTATATATGATCAGCAATGTGAAAGTTTTCCGACTGATCCCCCTTAACTTCATTTTTACTAGCGTTGCTTGATGTCAAATGCTATCTTGAAATCAAGGGCAGTTATTTACCTCACTTTTGGAATTTAGCTCAAATGACCATGTTTTGAGCAAATCTGGAATCAAATTGACCTGGAAAATCCAAACTGAACAGGCTATTGATGAGTTGATGCCACATTATAGCACTATTCATAATTCCTTCCATTGATAACTAAGAGTAAGTTGATGGAATAGTATTTGGTCAGATTGATTTTGGTTTTGTTTGGATAATTTTTCAATTTTTAGAGCATATCCTTATATTGTAGAATTGTGTTATATCTGGAGCAGCTTGGCTAGCTGTATGTCTCGTTCTGGAGCACAGGTCTTTGGAACTGCCGACTGAATTTTGTTGAAGCCTGGAGTTTGAACCCTTTAATGTGCCCAATGCACTAAAATGTCTTTTGATCTTACATGGAATGAATCAGGTTGGCTGAAGGTGAGAATCTATAATGTTGAGCATCGCAGGAAGAGGCTGAGGGATCATCCATTGGCACCTCTGCCTGAAAATGATTTTCAGTTTTGTATATTGCACTTGTGTGCTTGGCTGTCTTATTTATTAGGATAGAAGTATTCTTGAAATCGCTTGACATTTGTTGTTTAATTGTCTGCTGCCATTCCCACCTAAAAATGGGACAGGATGCTGACCTTTTGATCCCACAAAGACAGCAATAATTATAATTAATTTTAGCACAGTCTACAATATGGTGTATCTAATGATTAGCATCCATGTAGTTCTGTGTTGCATTTTCTTTAGGTTAGCATCTAAATATCAGGTATATGTGGTACTGCATCCATTTTGTTCGTCCAGATTCCAGACCGAGTAGGGTTGATCATCAGGCTTGACAATGTTAGAGTAGTGAAAAATAAGAATAAGGGGAAAAAAAATGTTAAAGATGACATTGGGATACATTTCTGTGGATGCTATTCACACACAGTGCCTCGAGTATAATCTATTGCACTTAAAAGGTGTCAGTGTCACATAGTCTGATGAAAGACTGTCATTCCAGAGAAAGGATTTACAACGAAGGCAGCTGATATCTAAACATATTGAAGCTTTTTGACACCAAAACGGAGTCTTTTTTTAAGTGTAAAATTAGTGGGAATGAACCAATTAGTACTGTTGATACTTACGTTTGTTGAATATCAAAATATACATTACAGTCCTAAAATAGTTATTAAAAGCCTGTACAAATAGAGAAATGGAAATCGGGCATGTAAGCACAATTCCACACTACTCAGTTTAAAAAAAAAATACTGTGGACAACAATTAGTAAGCTAAAAATGAAAATTTCCTTATCCGAACAGTTGCTATCACTGAAATTATTTTGTGACGTTAAGCTTTATTTGCCTTTTGACCAATGGCCAACGATGCTGGGATTTGTTATAAGGATTTATGAATAGTTGCAATGTTACAATTTTATAATTGAAACAACAATTGAAAATTTCTGCAACTGAAGGATATTAAATGGAGTATTTGCAGAGTACAACCTTAACTGGAGACACAAGAGACGGTCAACAGACTTTGCAGAATAAATGGTCAATTCTAACACTTAATCTCTCAATGAACTGAATATTGGTTACTTTGTCAGTTATATTTTACTTTCTTTTCAAAAAAAAATATTTTCCAGAGTATGGTCTGTTTGGGAATGATCATGTGGTATGTTATCACCAAGCAAAATAGTCTTCTTGGTCAAGTGCTGGTCTTCATTGTGCTATATTGTTCTTTGTATAGTACATATGTATGGACAGGTAAGATCATTTTAGATGGCTGTTTTAACTCATTCATTTTGATTTCCTCGGTTTTTGCTATAATAATTCTGTATGTATATTTTTGATTTCTCATTATGCATCTCTACTTAGTACAATTTCTGTGATTTTCCTTCCTTCTCCCTGTCTATTTATTATCTGTTTTCCTCTTTATAACAATGACTATTTACTGCTATTTCCCTATTTTCACTTTTTTTCTATTTTATCCCTGTTCTTTCCCTGACGTACTGTTTCTTTTGCCATCTCATTCTCTTCTCTTTACATTTTCCTTTTTTCTTTTTTTTGTTTCTTTTACTGTTATTTTTCTTTTCTACTTAACTCAGTTTTTCTCCCTTCCACTCTCCTTCCCTCTCAATCAGTTTTTCTTCCTGATTTCTTTGTTATCATTTCTTCTGTTTTTTTTTTCTCTTCCTCTCTCAGTTGCTGTCACGTTCTTCATCCTCCTCACTCTCTCCTGAATCCTGTGAGGCTTTAAACATTGATGTTTCACCACAAAATCATCTGAATTGCTGCATCATAGGCATTTCAAGTACAATTGCAGATAAAAGTGATGTCAGGTTTTTTTCTTTGTATGAACGGACACTCATCTAATCACTTGTTTCACGATTTGAAGCTCCAATAGAAACACAGCCGATTTACTGTGTTCTTGCAAAGTGGTCTAAAATGTCCACAACCAATTTCTTTTAATAGGTCTCATTGCTCTCTCATTACTCCTGTTGGAGAAAAATGCATCCAAGCAAAAAGGATTCTTCATTATTGCTGGATGGGGGTGAGTGGGAAACTGTTTTATATTTTCAAACCTTGTCTGTGGTTGCTGTTAATGATAGATAATAGTCATCTGGTTTAAGTCAACAACAAACCGAACAAGAATGGAACCAAATGACATGATATTTACTTTATAATATTATGACATAGCTAATGTTTTAATGTTTGTTAGTCTAAATAATACATTTCAAAATTTAATGGACTGATTTCATAGAGTCCCTACAGTGTGGAAACAGGCCATTTGGCTCAACAAGTCCATACTGACCCTCTGAAGGGCATCACACACAGACCCATCCTCCACCCAATATTTCCCATGGCTTACACATCTAACCTACACATCCCTGGCCACTATGGGGCAATTTAGCATAAGCAATCCACCTCACTTGCACATCACAAGTTTTGATTTCAACAGAGCTTGGTATGCAGATAAGAAATGGCCATGGAAAAAGGGTTTGCCTTTCGATGACAATGTAGATCTGGGTCCTTGAATTGTTTTAAAAGAATCCATTTACATTGGGAGATAGGGTGAATTGACTTTTTTAAGATGTTTTAAGTTATTTGGGTTATTAGTTTGTGGATTGTCTCAGCTGTTGTGGTAGAATTTGTCATGGCTGTCAAAATGCAAACCGATTTTTCACAGCATTTTGTTGGATGTGAATTGGCCTGAAGTTGCAAAAGAGAAAAGAACAAAAGAGAAGTATGGCACAGAAACAGGCCATTTCGCCTTCATGCCCTGACTAAACTTAAAAAACAAATCTTCTGCCCTTATTCAGCCCATATTGCTCTATTCCTTCTCTATTCATGTAACCATCCAGATGCCTCTTAACTGTCGCCAATGTGCCTGATTCCACCACCAGCTCCTCTGGCAGTGCATTCCAGGCTCCTACCACACTGTGTTAAAACTTTCCTTGCACATCTCCCTTAAACTTTTGCCCTCTCAGCTTGAACCTGTGCCCCCTTGTAACTGAAACTTCAGCCCAGGGTAAAAAGCATCTGACTATCTACCCTATCTATGCCTCTCATAATTTTGTAGACCTCAATCCAGTCTCCTCTTGGTTGCCATCTTTCCAGTGAAAACAATCCTAGTCTTTTTAACCTTTCCTTATAGCCATTGCCTTCGAGACCAGGCAACATCCTGGTGAACCTTCTCTGCACTTTCTCCAAAGCTTCCATGTCTCTCTGGTAATGTGGTGACCAGAACTGCACACAATACTCCAAATATGGCCTGACAAGGGTTTATGTAGCTGCAATATGTTTTGCCAACTCTTGTAATTCATGCCCTGGCCAATGAAGGCAAGCATGCCATATACCTTCTTAATCACTTTGGCCACCTGTGTTGCCACTTGTAGGGAACTGTGGACCTGCTCGTCCAGATCCATCTGTAGATTAATGTTCCTAAGGGTTCTGCCATTAACAGTATAATTCACATCTAAATTTGATCCTTCAAAATGCATCACCTCGCATTTGTCTGGATTAAACTCCATCTGCCATTTCTGTGCCCAAGTCGCCAATCCATCTATATCCTGTTGTATCTTTTCACGATCATCGCCACTTCCAGCAACTCCACCAATCTTCGTGTCATCTGCAAACTTACTAATCAGACCAGCCACATTTCCCTCCAGATCATTTATACATACTACAAACAACAGAGGACCAAAGACCGATCCCTGTGGAACACCAGTAGTTACCAGTCTCCGTTCTGAAAAACACCCTTCCACTGCTACCTCAGTCTTCTATGACCAAGCCAGTTCTGTATCCATCTAGCCAGGCCACCCTGAATCCAATGTAATTTTAGTTTTTGTACCAACCTGCCATGTGGGACTTTAGCAAATGCCTTACTAAAGTCCATATAAACTACGCCCACAGACCTTCCCTCATCAATTATCTTTGTCACCTCTTCAAAAAAGTTCAATCAGGTTGGTGAGACACGACCTTCCCCATAGGAAACCATGCTGCCTGTCGCTAACTAGTCCATTTTCTTCCAAATGTGCACATATTCTGTCCCTCAGTATCTTCTCCAAGAGATTCCCCATCACAGGTGTCAGACTCACCAGCTTATAATTTCCTGGATTATCCCTGCTTCCTTCCTCAAACAAAGGAACAACACTGGCCAATCTCCAGTCTTCTGGAACCTTGCCTGTGGTCAGGGAGGATATGAAGATATCTGCTAATGCCCCAGCTATTTCTTCCCTTGCCTCTCTCAGTAACCTGGGATAGATCCCATCTAGCCCTGGGAACTTGTCTACCGTAATGCAATTTAGAATACCCAAAACTTCCTCCTTTTAACATATTAGCAGTCTCTAGAGTTTTCGCACATTCATCCCTGACCTCAACATCAGTAATGTCCTGCTCCTCGGTCAATACTGATACAAAGTACTTATTAAGGATCTCTCCCACTTCCTGTGGCTCCACACATAATTTCCCTCCTCTGCCCTTGAGGGGGCCTGCTCTTTCCCTTGCTACCCTCTTTCTTCTAATATATGCGTAAAAAGCCTCGGGATTCTCCTTGAACCTGTTTGCTAAAGATATTTCGTGGCCCCTTTTAGCCTTCCTAAGTCTGCATTTAAGTTCCTTCCTAATTTCTCTACATTCCTCAGTGGCTTTGAGAGTTTGTAGCTGCCTAGATCTATCGAATGCTTCCTTTTTCCTTTTGACTAAGTTTACAATTTCCCTTGTCATCCTTGGTTCCTGGATCCTACCATTCCTATCCTTCTGTTTTGCAGGGACATGCAAGCCCTACACTTTAATCAACTGGTCTTTAAAAGTCTCCCACACAGATATAGATTTGCTCTCAAATAACTGCTCCTAATCCACATTCCCCAGTTCTTGTTTAATTTGGATGTAATTGGCCCTTGCCCAATTAAACACCCTCACCTGAGGGCCACTCTTCTCCTTGTCCATGGCTACTTGAAATCTTATGGATTTATGGTCCCTAAGCCCAAAATGCTCTCCTACTGAAACATCAATCATCTATCCTGGCTCATTCCCTAATACCAAGTCTAGTATGACCTCCTCTCTGGTTGAATTGTCAACGTACTGTCTCAAAAAGCCCTCCTGGACACATCTAACAAATGACTCTCCATCTGAGTCCCTGGCTTTACAGGAGTCCCTGTCAAAAGAGGAAAGTTGAAGTCACCCACCACAACTACCCTGTTTTTTTTTCACACCTTTCTAGTATCTGACTACATACCTGCTCCCCTATCTCACGTGGGCTGTTGGGAGATCTATTGAAAACTCCTAGCATTGTGATTTCACCCTTCCTATTCCTGAGCTCTACCCATAATGCCTCACTGCAAGGTTCCCCTGATGTATCTTCCATCAACACAGTTGTAATGTGATCCCTAATTATGCAACTCGCCCCACCCTTTTGTTTCTCTCTGTCCCATCTAAAACACCCTGGAATGTTAAGCTGCCAATCCTGCCCCTCCTTTAACCATGTCACCATAATGGCAATAACATCATAATTCCATGCAGTAATCCGTGCTTTTAGTTTATCTGTTTTACCTGTTATATTGCTTGCATTGAAGTAAATGCACTCCAGACCTCCAATCCCTCTGAGCCCTGCGACTTCCCTCTGCGCTATGCATATTTCCTCTGTGAAATTAAAGCTCTTAATAAAATGACTTTTATTTTTAGCTTTATAGTTACAGACCATGAACCAGGCAAGGCAAAGCCTCAAGAAAGAGCTGAGTGGCTAATTACGTTGGGTTAAAGGCGGAGGTATTCCTTTACTTAGTACCATTGAGAGACACAAAATGGCTGGCAGCTAAGCCATCCTTCTCGCCCTGCAGAATGTGGCTGACAAGTGGTTAAACAGAATTAAAAGCCTGCTGCCGCATTTAAATAAGACACAATGGTACCTTTGAGAAGAGGTTATTCCAAGGCAAAAGGGAGCCTTGCACAAACAACAGCTGCAAGAACATTTGTTAGAGACTGATTAATAAGAAATGTCCAATTACAGACAGGTTGAAGATATGCAACAAACACTGAAGGGGAAAGTAAACTTGCAGTAACAAACACAGGTGAACTAATGGGATTATAGTTTGTTTAAAAAAAAAATCTAGGGGATCAAACAAGTTCATTAAATTATGATAGTGATTGATTCTAGTCTCATTAATGAAAAGATGTTGTCTCATTATGTGAACAGAGTTAGTTAGGACAAGGGGTGTAAATCATCTCAGAAGATGGTCAGCCCAGCTCATCATGCAGCTGCGAAAACAGCAGATGACGGCACTTTGCAGCAATTAGTTGTTTCTTTGAAATTATTCACAATATTAAGAAATAGGTTCTAGTTAAAGATTCTTAAGTTTATCACAGAGTTTTCAATGTAATTATAAATACACGTATAAAACAATGCAAAGATCACTAAAGGCATTAGGGGAAAAGATTCAAATATAGATGTGAAAGTTAATTAGTCTAGGGAAGCTTTCCTTTATCACTAAAGGAATGCCTGGTGCACCCTGTAAGAAACAAATTGCTCACAACTCATTAGCTATTGAGTGCCAACAGTAAGGTAGATATAAAAACTTTTACACATAACTAACTTTTTAATAGAATTAATATCATGAATCTTATAGCAATTAGTAAGAATCAACTTTTTTTTCTATATAATTAGGGCAGTGGGAAAATATAAGAAGAGTAACAGAATTTTATAGAGTTAGCAAATGAACAACAGAATTCAAGCAGTCCTTCAGATAAGCAAGTCTGGGACATGTTCAAAAGAGTATAGCCAGTAACTTTTTAATGCAAATTAATTGGATGCATTGAAGGATCCCAAGACCTGGTGATTACAATGTCTGTTAAACATCATGAGATCATGGGAACCTTGGGCTATGCATAGTAGTGTCCATCATTGATTAGGTGTTCCACAAGATTGGATGTATAGAATAAGGGAAGGGCACAGTTACCACGTTGTATGTGATTATATCCCACTGTGAAAATCAGAGCATCATTGACTTCTTCCGATCTGAGCTAAAGATTAAGGGGATAACTGCGTCCTCACATTGAGCCAGATTCGGAGGGAGTCTGTGGCCCTCACTGCATGAATAAAGACTGCCAGTGCCTGAATTCTGTCTGCCTCTTGAGTCTTTGTCCTCAGTCAGAGGTTTCGCTCCTACAACTGCCTTCGCTTGTTATGAGCTGAAATGATTACATATAGTCAGACTCATAATAACTGAAATCTCATTTGTTAAACCTACTGTTTTTAAAAAAAAAAAAACCTGCTCGTCAACTGTGTTGTATGTTTCAGCTTGCCGAGTGATTTCTCGATTTTAATTATTGTGTAAAGATTGGAGGGATATGTCCGGCCACCTGAATGGAGCTCACTTATCTTGTTTCTGTCATTTGGGTTACTGTTTTTATAGTATTTGTACAGGTAAATTTAGTGCTGGATAAATCAACATGCATTAAAATGTTCAAGATTAAGATCCTCAGCCTGCTTATAGGAGCAATTGATGCCATTAAACCTGAAGGCATCTAAAACAGACTTAATTTTATTTTACATATTTATACGTATTGTCACAACTGTGCTATTCATCTTGAAACACGTTGATTTTGGTAATGGAAGGCTATTTTAAAGATAATTGTACTAAGTTTTCTGTCTGTGATCTATGACCACTACCACAGAAATAAGCAGACACTTAATGTATTTCATGATGATCATCTCAGCTGATATCCCTTCTTAATTTCACAATGCTGTGATCCATTATTCTAGCAATTAATAGTTATGTGTTTTTGTTTTATTAGAATACCAGCATTCATTGTGGGAATACTATTGTTAACTGGTCACCCAAATACACAAACACTGGGAGATTCGGCATTCTTTTATGGAAATATTCAGGTATGAATTAAATAGCAATCCTGGAAACACCCTAAAAATATATTGTTGAAATTGCTTTAACCCCTTAATTATGCCAAACTACTTGCATGGAACTATAAAACTTCAGAGATACACATTTCTCTCCAATTGTTGTACGAAGATCATTTAAACCAACGTTATATTATCAACATGCAAACTTGAAGAAAGGTAAAAGTAATTCATAGTTTTGATATGTTTTTCTCTGAAATGCTTGAAATCTGATGGTCTGTTGCCATTGGGATCAACATAGAACATACTTCTAGGATTTAATGCTTACACTGTCAAAAAAAGCTAAAAATTACACAGAATGGTTGAGCTTTCATTGTTATGGCTTCTATCTATCTGGAGGATTCTTTAATTATTTGCATGACCAAAGCAGTCTTTTCAGTAGGTTTTTATGTTCCACAAGTGTTTTACCCAACCTATTTACTTCATCTTACTCAGTCAAGGTATGGTGAGATATTGCATTGAAGAACAAAGGATTTTCAGATTTCGTTTTGACAAATAAGTTGGAAAATATATTATGCGGGCTGGCTATTGCTGCATGCGCACCCATTGCTTTGTTTTGTGAATGATAACAACAGGTCAATCTTAATAACCAGTACCATTAAAGCAGCTTGAGGATGAAAGACCTCTGTACTGAACTGGCTTAGGAGAGAAGCAGTTAAACAAAGTGATGGGCTATGATGCTGCTACTGAAGCAAGAAAATCCAAAGTAGTTTCTTAGATTTTCTTCAGGATAAGATGGGAGAGGTAGTTTGATCTGAGTGTTAGACCCTTCCATTTTCTATTGAATACATGGTCAAGTTGAATGCAAACAACTTTGTGATTTTGGGAATGTTCTTTTGGGTTCTGAGTCATAAAAATAAATTAGCTCTCAAGTTCAATCTTCGGTCAGGGCTTAGTTAACTGATCTCAGTCAGGGAGGCATAAGTGGACCTGTAATTAGCCTCAGTGACGTGGAAGAGAACAATGTCTTTGTGAAATTGCCAATAAAGTAGTAATTATACTGTAATTTGCTAAGTTCAGGAAATGTGCATCTATTAGAACATTAATTAGATTTTGAAAGATGCATCTGCAATACGTTATGGTATTTGCTAAAATTTAGGTAGACGGGTAGAAATTAGAATATGTAAGCTTACTGTTCACTAATATTAGCAAGACTATTCATATAATTATAAAGCAGCAGAGTTCCAAGTTTTATGTGAACACATGACTAGTTGTGGAAATTCAGGTTTCTTTGTTGCAGTTGAAATTGTTAAAGAAGCACAGTTGTCATAGATGGGATTTGGGAAAAATAACTTTAATTGAAAAGAAGTGTAAATATCTATTATTTTTAGCATTGTATTTGCATAACACATGTACAGGCCTTAATGTAATGAAAAATCCTAATTCCATGGTGCAATGGTGGGGTGGGGAATAGATGAATCAAACTAACCTGGGTATTCCTGGCGACTAGGTGAGTGGCATCCAGGTGCCCTGACCACATCAGGCTACTCATCCTGCTCCTCTCACTTCTCCACTTGCACAGATGAAGATAGGCCATTACCTTTCTCCCCCTGGTGCTTACATTCTCTCTGGTGTGTACTGAAAGGAATCCCAAGGTCTATCCAGGCAGCTGAATCACTGACAACAAGGTGCAGGGCTGGATGAACACAGCAGGCCAAGCAGCATCATAGGAGCAGAGAGGCTGCAGGGCTGGATGAACACACTTCTTTGGCATTCCGGTGGTTTCTCCATGATAACCCTCACCATATCACTTAATGTGACTTTGTTTTACTGATAATAAGTGGTAGGGCACTTCTTGGGCATTGTCAGCCATGTCCTTAGAAATTAAGCAGTATCTTGAAGGAGGATTCCAATGAATTGCTTAGAAGTGTGAACATCTTTGAGTGATTTGACTGGCACAGATGAAAAAATCAAAGCAGTTTCTGCATCTTGCACAGATATGTGGAGCCATTTCTGATGGTTGCATATCAGCTGAATGCTATTGGTGTGGAATGCTTTTGATTGATGAATACTAGTTGTTGATCTGAGGGAGTGCTTTGATGATCACATGGATACAATCTCCAATTCACTGCACCTGTGGGACTCTAGCAAGAGCAGTGTATCTTAGTGTCCTCGAATTTTTGAAATCAGTCTCATTCATGCTGAAATAGAAAGCATAGCATCACCTGGGAGGTGCACTTGTGACTTATGTGCAACAGGTTGTGACTTTCTACAAATATCACCTGGAAGGAGCCAAAGGAATTCAGGGTGATTTTGATCGACATTGAGACTATGTGCCCATCTGAGTCACTGAGAAGGAGATCCTTCCAGGAAGCTGCAATTGCCTGCGACCACCGTCAGATGTCCTGATGTTCGGTGATGTCCTGAAATCTAATCCATCGGAGGTGTCACGTACTATGAGCTGGAGCACTGTGCTCATCCCCTCTGTCCTGTGAGATAGCACATGGATGAGGAGATGGCTGATGCTGTCCTACACTTGCAGATGTTGCTTCTCAAGTTGGTCATTCAGAGATTTATGGTGAAGCAGCAAGAGTAGTTCCCATTCTGCTGTGAAAACTGTGCAGATCAAAGGTAGGAGATGTCAGAATAAAGCAGAAATGTGTTCCAGAGTACTGGACATCACCTCTGACTCAGAAACACACTCTCAGAACAAGTCCTGTGAACAAAGTCCATTCACACGGGCTAGAAAGTATCTATCATACCTTGGTATGTAGAGCCATTTTCCCCTTTCAGTTGCTCAGTCTCATCATTCCCTGTTGTCAGGTAAAACAAAGTGAGAGAGCAAGTTCCAGGAAACTTGTGCTCCGAGTTAAAACAGAAACCATGGTTAAAACTCCACTTAATCACTTTTAATCAAAATGCAGAAAAGATGTTACAGATGACCAGGGTCACGGTGTAAGGATTCAGGGTAGACCATTTAGGACAGATGAGGAGAGAGTGGTGAAGCTGGGGAGTTCTCTGCCACGGAAAGCAATTGAAGCCAAGACATTGAATGTTTTCAAAAAGGAGTTATACAGGTCTTAGGGCTAAAAGGATCAAAAGGTATGAGGAGAAAGTGGGAACCAGGATGCATTGGATGATCATCCGTGATCATATGGAATGATGGAGTAGGTTTGAAGGGCCAAATGGCCTATGCCTGCTCTTATTTTCTATGTTTCTCTGTAGACAGCAACATTTCCCAACATGAAAGTCAGAGGTGGGTACCTGGCAACAGTGTGCAACACTGGCTCTTCGGTACCCCTGCCTTCGGTACTTTCCACCAACATCTCAGACAATGCTTCATAGGCAGAGACCATCCGCAAACCTCCCCCAGCACTACCCCCCACCCCCACCCCCCAGCCCCTCCGTGGATATTATTATCAGGGATATACCAGCTCACCATACCCTGACAGCACATTTCTGACCCACTTACATTACAGTTCTGCGTCTCCATCCTGCACCTCTCAATGGAATGTTACTGTCTAGACCCTGTGCACACAGGGCCGGGATCACATCTCATGGATTAGACCAGGGAGTACCTCAGGGCTCATTGCTTGCATCTTAGTATTCACTCACTTCACACCTACTTGGATGCTGAAATCATCTCTGCCTTGGATTTGGCTCCTCAGCCAGAGCTTAAAGGCTTACAGCTGTTCTGCCTTGTCGTGCTTTTTAGTGCAGGCACAAAGCCAGGCAGCTTGCCATGGATGTCAGCAGTGATTAGTTAAGGGGTGAACACGTTGCTGTACAGTGCCATGTTATGTCAATCTCGTACCAGTACCATGTGCCAGCAGCGAGTGCAGTAAGACCATAAGACATAGGAGCAGAAATTAGGCCATTCGGCCCATTGATTCTGCTCCGCCATCCAATCATGGCTGATAAGTTCCTCAACCCCATTCTCCTGCTTTCTCCCCATAACCCTTGATCCCCTTGATAATAAAGAACCTATCTATCTCAGTCTTAAATGTACTTAATGACCTGGCCTCCACAGCCTTCTGTGGCAGTGAATTCTATAGATTCACCACTCTCTGGCTGAAGAAGTTTCTCCTTATCTCTGTTCTAAAAGGTCTTCCCTTTACTCTAAGGCTGTGCCCTCGGGTCCTAGACTCTCCTACCAATGGAAGCATCTTCCCAACATCCATTTTGTCCAGGCCATTCAGTATTCTGAAAGTTTCAATTAGATTTCGCTCCCCCCCCCCCCCCCCCCC